AATCAAATGGTCAAATCCAGGTTAATCACAACAGTAGACATAGACAGAGTTTGTGGTTCATGGGGGCGGGACCAATGTTGATAAATGTTAATAAATGTTAATAAATGTGGATAAATATTAATAAATGTTAGTTGTGGGTCCTGAAAGATTATGACTTAAATCGCTTTAATTTACTGAGATTATTTGTTATGATTCTTTGGATGAATGTTTTTACCTTGTTTTGTCAAGTTCTCCTCTGACTGTGCGTCTCAATCAGAGGAGTGAGACCACGGAACAACTTAGACCACAGATGTAAAAACTCCCATTGAAAACATAACATTAAGCATAATTTTTTAGAGAAATACTAAGCCCAAGAATGAACCAGCTCTCCTACATTTATAATAAGACTGTTTACTGCTGTTTCTTCTTTTATCTTGAAATGGAAAAGAAATTCTAATTCTCCTTTTTAACAGTTTCTCATATTATTGATTTGCTATTATAAATAATCATTCCTTTTCTTATCATTTTTTTCCCTGATTTAGTTTTGCTGCTATTGTGAAAGGGTTTTGCCACCAACTTATGAGACTTTACTTAATGAATTGGAAACGGCCAAAATAAGTTATATTTCAGCCTAATCCCTTCTATGTCAAAGTGTGTGCATGAACCGACACAAGCTAAACTGTTTTTATGTCAAAACTGTGTATAACCGAATAAACAAACTTAATTACTTACTTTGAGTTGCCTTGTGTAATATGAAGCTTAAGCGGAGATTGAAAGAACTGAGTGGAAGAACTGAAAACCCAGCTCTGAGTGCTTCCAAACGCTCAGTTCTACTGCTGTTGCCCACAGCAACAGCAATCTGTCAATCACACTCAGCTGCAGCGCCTCACCTGCAGCAATCAGGCACTGCCCACATCAGCTTCACATCACGCAGAAGCTCCATCCAAGCAGCAGCTTCACTCACGCCGCAACCCTCCTCCTCCCCATCTCCGCCTTGTTCTCCTCGTTACCACCACCAGGGTCTAGGCGCCGGGGGATTTCATCTCATAATCTCTTTCCCCTTCTGCAATCATGCAGTGCTCGCCGGGGTCAAAGGCCAAATCCAAACCACATTCTGTTCAGCACAAAAAATGTAATCTTGAAAATAATGTCTTGTCATGTGTGTAATTCATGCAGTGTCAGATTACCTGTCAACAAACATACAATTCTAATACACTGTTTGCCTGTTCGAGTCTCTCCAGATTGTCTCTCCAAAATAATAATAATTGTCCAACTAAGCGATTGTCAAATTTGTGTACTTCCTCGTTTCCATGAAGCGGGGAGTGTGTGATGACAGTGATGACAGGAGGAGGTTGGTTCTTTGCTCCGACACTGATCCAGACGATGAAGGATCCTCTGTGTGACAGGGGCCTCCCTCCTGTTTCTCTCTTGGATCAATCTCAGTGTTTACAAATGCTTTGACTTTCCCAATGTCATCCTTCATCCATCTTCACCTGCTGCGGCGCTCCCCCCGACCTGAGCCTCTCTCCATCATTATTAGTGTTAAAGCTCCACCAGACGGACCTGAAACACGGCTCTCCACATCTGCAGTTGTATTTGTGTTCATCAACGCAGGCTTTTATTTCTACTTTAAAGCAGTGCAGGTTTTTAAAAGGCTGGTTTTGAAGCTGAAGTGTGGTCTACCTATGCAAATGTTTACTTTAGATTTTTGTTTCTTAAATATCCTGTTTTAAAGCCGTGGTACCTAACTGGGGCCATAGATATAATGTGGTTTTTGTCCTGAACTTTTCATTCAGTTAGAAAGCATTATCTTTTGTTTATATTTCAGTCTGAGCTTCTCTAAATATGTGACAGACATGGCCCAAAACACATGTGCGTGAAAACTATTGACAGAACCAAACAGTTTTGAGAGCGAGGATCCACTGAATGGATCTAGGCCGGTCTTAGCCATCTGTAAACTCCGGTCCATTATCATTTTCTACATAAGTCTTGGTCTGATCCTAGTGGCTGCAGTTACATCAGATCAATCCCCGCCGACCAATCAGAGAGCGGGGGAGGCGGGTGTTTTGTTTGTGCTGAATTTGCTGGTTGTAGTTTGTCGGAGAATGTGATAGTAAAGTAATCTGCTCTGGTTCAATCCAAATATCAAGAAATTGAAGCCGGAAAAAGAGGAATGTTTATCAAATGTTGTGGCTCTACTCCCCACGGGCTCCATTAGTGGCAAAAGAGATGGTTAAAGCTAGACTAAATGCTAAAGCTAGGCTAAATGCTAAAGTCTAGCGACTCACGCGGATGCCCTTAGTACGAGATGACATTTGTACAATGGTGTGGTGAGACCAGGCTCGAACAGATCTGTTATAAGACCTTTTGAGCATATTATATTCAAACTGAGCTGGTTATTATAATAATAATTGTATTATAATAATGGTTTTATACAGTTCTTTTTGGACACTCAAAGGCACTTCACATGTCATTATTATTTTACTCCATACACGGTGGTGATAAACTACTACAGTAGCCACAGCTGCCCTGGGGCACACTGACAGAAGCGGGGCAACCAGTCGTGCTATCGGCCCCTCCCACTTTGCGTCCTTGTTTTGTATCTTCCTCGGTTTTACGGATTTAATCATTCAGGTCTATCTATATTTGTTATTTACTTTAGGTACCCCAGCTTTAATGATGTGTGTCAAAAAAAACCCTTGTAATTCTTTTCATGGAACTGAAAAACACATTTTCTTTTAAATACTACTTTGTAATCTGTCATAAATACAACATACAACTGTATGTTTGTACATTTTAAATGGTTATGTCCTAAACTCCTCCTTTGTGTGAACTCTCAGTCAAACAGGGATTAGTCAAAGCAAAGGAAGGTTCCTCACCATCGTCTGTTCTTCTAAGCAGGTTTTACCGACGTTTCGTCCTTAATGCAAAGAACTTTTTCAAGGGAATGATCTCAGACCGCGCATTGGAGATTTATATATACCACACCCATAGGTTATAAATCTCCAACGCGTGGTCTGAGATTTGATTCCCCTGATAAAGTTCTTTGGATTAAGGACGAAACGTTGGTAAAAACAGACGATGGTGAGAAACCTTTCTTTGCTTTAAACTCCTCCTCGTTACAGTAAAGGCAGTGTTCATCCTCTGTAAGTGCTGTGTCCATAACAAATAAACTAACACATAAAGACAAAGATTATACTCTCAGATTAGGCAACAATAGGACAGATGCTGCAGATGCATCAGTACTGCTGCAGATGCATCAGTGTTGCTGCAGATGCATCAGTACTGCTGCAGATGCATCAGTGTTGCTGCAGATGCATCAGTGTTGCTGCAGATGCATCAGTACTGCTGCAGATGCATCAGTGTTGCTGCAGATGCATCAGTGTTGGCCTGATGATCAGAGTTGTGGCCCCTGCAGACGCCGCTGCCTCGGCCCCTGTCACACTCCTGCACCTGCGCCTCTTAATGAGACAAATGCAGCTCTGAGCAGAATAGAAATAGTCGAGGTGTTTGGAAACAAAGCACAAGTCTGAGAAAGGTTTAAAGGTTTAAAGGTGTAAAGGTGTAAAGGTGTAAAAGTTTAAAGGTGTAAAGGTTTAAAGGTTTAAAGGTGTAAAGGTGGGAAGGAAAACCATTAGATGTTTCCAACCACACAACAATACGAGCTGTGGTTGGAAACACACGACGCTTATTGTTGTATTGTGTTGGTTTTGTATAAATGTGAAGATACACTGTATGTGTGGAAAAGTGCACGTTATTTATCCCCGTGGGGTAAGTCAGTCTTTAAATTTGACCTTAATCCCATTGCAGAAAAATTAAAACAATATTATGTCTTGTTTGTGTTTAATATTGTGCAGCATCACAACTCATTTGCGTCAGGAGCAGTGGTTGCCGTAGTAACAGCGCCCGGGAACCCATCTCCAGTTGTTGATGCTCAGCTTGGTCAGGACCAAAGCTGGGGGATTTTACTTATTATGCAGGTTTTTAATGGTAGGGGAAACTGGAGCACCCGGAGGAAACCTATGCAGAAACGGAGAGAGAACGTACAAACTCCACTCAGAAAGGTCCTGTTCCAACCGGGATTCGAACTCAGGACTGTCTTGCCGAGAAGCGAGAGTGCTATCCATTCAGCCACCGTGCAAGGTCCCAAATTAACACTATAACAGAATAAAAATCAGTAATTAATCAATACCTTTTTATTCATGGAGCGTTTTTCTACAAAGAAAAACATAAAACACTGCATTTTAGAATAACAGAAAAAACTGTAAAAATAGGACTTTGCTATGGGTTATGCCTTTCAGAAAATATAGAGTATTTTAACATTGTTATGGGCTATAAAGGGTCATTGATGTCATAGATGTGGCTGAATGTACAACAGGGGACAAAGTGCACGACAAACATCCCACAATGCATCAGGAAAAGTAATGATTATAAGTTTTACACTCATTGACTGGAAGCTGTTTTTGATGATTTCACTGATTCTCAAGACCCACAGAATATTATTTCCTCAGACTATGTGAAATGTGAAACCAGATTCTGAAAGACTGGATTGTCTTCTTTGATCAGCAAAAATAAGTTTGTTTCTAGCTATTTTTATTGTCCTGTAATCTCCAGTCAAAGAGAGGGTCTCAGACAAATACGTCAATAGCAGTCAATGAAAAAAACCATGTGAAAGACCGGACAAAGAAGAAAAACAGCAGAATAGACACGATTTAAAACATAAACCATTTTTATTGGTTGTATTTGTTTAATTTGTGTGTGACTAATCTCAAGACAGACTCAATATTTAACCCACGATGTCTTTTGGCGCTCAGGGGCTTCCATACAATGTGCTTGAGCTCTAAATGTCTCAAACTGCCTCAGCTCAGAAGAATGAAACGGGTCGTGTGTCTTTGGAGAGCGCACAATCCCGGCAAGAACAGCGGTAAAAGGAGACAGCTCCAGTATTTTCCCAAAGCAGGCCGAGGAAATGGGATTTTCATCATTTATAAATACACTTTCTCTTTTCCCAAATTCAAGGC